TATCCACACACTAGTTTAATAAAGGCATACCAGCAGGAATGTAAATTAAATATTGCTGCCGGTTTTGTGTGTTTTGAAAAATCCCGGTTGGCATGTTCACTTTTCATTATTGCTGAGAATATGCTTCACCGGTTCTGAAGTATTACATGAATATTAACTGAACTGAAGCAGGACACTTACATCCACTTAAGAAGAAAACGAAATGCATATAATTGGCAGAGTGTAACTGTGTAGACCGCCGACCAGTAAAGTCTGTGCACTCATTCATTTTCCAAATTTGGCTCAGAGTCGTATCAACGGCTTCCTGCCAGGTGTTCCTTTTAGCTACAAATGTGTTACCCCACAATTGGCAGTCCACTCAGCATCTAATTTTTTTTTTCATGCTAATGACTCCAAATATATTTTGGGGTCTTAATTTACTTAAAATAGTGATTGTGTTTAGCACACTTTGAACTTATAAACCTGAGATTATGCAAGCAAAATAATGCATTGTATGCTGTTTCACATTTATCAACACATACAAACAATCCCTTGTACCTTCAGAGGAAATTAACCATTGCAAAACTCAGATGCAAATTTACTTGTGTAGGTCATAATGGGATGTATTATATAGGATGTATAGGGAGATAGAATTTCTTTTTTAACAAAAAAAACACTAACTTTGGTGATGAACTCACCATGATCATTTCTAATTGGATTTGGGACTTGTAATGTAGGAATTATTGTAGACATTCTCTTGAAGAAAAGCAGCGGCACTGAATCTCCTCACATTTTCATCAGTGTCAAAGAATCCTCACACTCTAATTCATAATGCCAGATGATTACAACAGATATTGGAAAATGATCTCAATTTATAACTCTAATAAGTACCTGAAAGCTCTCAGTGAGTCAATTACGAGTTCAAACAGCAGGGAATCGTCAGCAGGCTTAATTAACATTATCATCGCACGCACTGCACTATAAAACCTTTGGAACATAATCACATTACTTAGGTGGGCTGCATAATCCTGCTAATTATTAATTAAATTAAAGAGTAACAGATATATTGTAATTTTTATAATTGAATTTGCACTCATGTTATTCATATATATCGACATGTACATACACACACTCACTGGCCATTTTATACACTGTTCAACTGCTCATAAACGCACATATCTAATCAGCCAATCACATCCCATTAGCTCAATGCATTTAGCATCATAATCAGCCCGGTCTCATCACCCAAGGCGTCATATGATACAGGTGACGCTTTTGACATTGCATCTACATCCGACGCACATGGCACGCTTTAGCATCAATATGAGATGCAGATATGTATGGGCCAGAAGGCGCCTCCTAGTGGTTTAACCCTAACACCACCCCAGACCTAAACCTACCCATAACCGAAGTGTGTTATATTGACGCTAAAGGATGCCATGTGTGTCGGATTTAGACACAATGTCAAAAACGTCACCTATATGACAAACTAGGATGAGAATGCGTTGTCATAATTGAAAAGAAATGTGTTTTATTTGACTTTGAACGTGACATGGTTGTTCTGTTTTTTATGTTCAACATCCGTTTTTTACGCACCACCATCTCTAGGGTTTATATAGAATGGTCCGAAAAAATGTCAGATCTGGGGTGAAAATGCCTGGATGACGCCAGAGGTAAGAGTAGAATGGCCAGACGGCACTGTAAAAAATAATCCTGTAAAAAAAAAAAAAAACCGGTAAACTACTGGCAGCTGTGGTCGCCAGCATCATACCGATAAAATACGGTGTATTACTGTTTTTGTGTTAGAGCATATAGCTGTTAAATTAAAGTTTTATACTCTAGCTGACAATACAGTGTTTGCTGTTGATTTCAAAAACAGTAACACACCGTATTTTTACGGTATGGTGCTGGCAACCACAGCTGCCAGTAGTTTACGTTTTTTTTACAGGAATATTTTTTACAGTGTGGGTTAAGCTGATGGCAACAGTAACTCAAATAACCACTAGGACTGCAGAAGTGTGTAACACGTCGAATCTTGAAGCAATCCTGTCAGCTAAGAATAGGAAACTGGTTACAATTCACACAGGCTCACTAAAATCTGACAATATGCCATAAACAACATAAAAGTATGGATATTTGGCAGACGTTGGACCCCTTAATAACAATTCATCATCGTTTAAACGCCACAGCATGCCTGAGTATTGTTGCTGACCATGTCCAACCCTTTATGACCACAGTGTACCCATCTTCTTCCTACTTCCAGCAGGATAACATCAAATGTCAAATCATCTAAAAACTGGTTTCTTGACAGTTCACTATACTCAAATGACCTCAACAGTCACCAGATCACAATCCAATAGATCACCTTTGGGATGTGCTGAAACAGGAGATTTGCATCATGGACAAATCTGCAGCAACTGCATGATGTCAATATGGACCAAAATCTCAGAGAAATGTTTCCAGCATCTTGTTGAACCTATGCCATAAAGAATTAAGGCAGCTCTGAAATGAGTGTAGATGTATACGTGTAAATAGTTATTTCATTTAAATAGCCTGTTTTCAAACAGTCTTTGTAAATGTAAACACAGAAGTAATAGAAAAGAATAAAAATAAACACTGGGAGTTAATTAATCTCGTTTTGATTTTGGCTGTGGTTCCTGGCAGACACAAATGTCACAAATTTGGAAAATTGCCACTGTGATGAAGCCAACAATGGCATCTCTGAGAATGGAGATCGCTTCATCAAAGAGACAGTCACCATTGACGGCGTGACACTAACTCTGTAGTTTGCCAGGGGTTTGATCTGTCGGGAGCTGATGAAAGTATTTTGATAGGCGACCTATTTCGTATTTCGATTTAAATTCATAATAACTTCTATGTAAAATGAATTTCAACATTTAAATCAGTGCCCTTGTTTTCTTTCTCTATATGGAAATTGGTTGAAGCGTCAAATCATAAATCTAGCAAAATGCAAAGGACTGCATTATACACTCCATCTGTAGTGAAATACTCTGCATAGTTATGAGTAAAATTACTAATCTTCATAATCATGGGCCTTATTCATCATTGTCATCATTGTTGCTCTGACAAGATTAACCAGATGTGCTAAAAAGATAGGAGCAGATGGTTGCTGTTGTTTACTTATCTCTTAGAGTTCCTGGCACAATAGAAAAACAGGTCTTCAAGAAATCCTATGAAACCCCATGAAAACTGCAATCCTGTTCCTACCACAAAACTTCTTCACTTTCTTTCTCACCCCCCAACACACTAAATTAACTGATTTTATTCAAGTCAAAAAATAGTAGTCAACATCACTGAATCCAAATGCATTGATTTATACCAACAAAGCTATTTTTATGCATTAAGTTGGGTAGAAATAGGCCTAGCTTTTTAAGGTAGCTATTGCAAGTTAGTAAAAAAAAAGTAGGTGTGTGTGTAACAAGAAATGTGGGTTAGGTGTATATGACTTTAAATGTAAATCCTTCCTCGAAAGGAAAGGAGAGCACAGACCAGAAGATGATGAATGTAGTCTGGCTCCTGCAGCTCTCATAGCTTGATGAAAAGCATGTTGAACCCTGTGTGTATTGTACCATGCGTACTAAAATGTGCCAACAAAATTGAAAATGAAAAAAAAAAAAAAAACATAAAATAAAGAAAGATGGAATGAACCTGTCTGTGTGGTGGTGGTTTTGTGTTTGTTTGTGTGAATAGTAGTAAAATATCTCACATATCTACAACATCAAAATCTGACAACATGAAGATAAGGTATAAGTTATGTATGACATATTCAGGTAATAATAAAGGCTACTTCAACATTCAGTCCATATTTTAACAGACTATGATGAAACCCAACGCATTCTCACCCCAAGGCATCACCTTTGACCATGCTTCAATATTTGACGTTTTAGGCGCCCTTTAGCGTCACTTACATGACGCGATCCTACAGCGTCATCTAACTGACGCTAAAGGAAAGCGTCAGTTAGAGGACACGGTTAGGTTTAGGTGTGGGGTGGGGGTAGGGTACACGCGATCCTAGGGCGTCATCTAACTGACGCTAAAGGGCGCCTAAAACGTCAGATATTGAAGCATGTCCAAATGCTTCCCAAGGCGTCAGTTAAGTGACGCCTTGGGGGTGAGAATGGGCTGTGAAACCATAGCTTAGAATCTAAAGAACAAAATGTCTATCCAAACTTGCAATTCCTCAATAAAACAGCTGATATGCAGAAGCCTGTAGGTTGAGGGTCAAACTCATGCAGCATTGGTTTAAAATTTAGGGTTACGTAAACTATTCAAAAATTATACTTATTTAGCTGGCAATGTGCATTGAGTATGTTACATCAAACTCAAATAATGTTTTGGTAAGACTATATCCAGGATTACCTTAAAACAACATAATCTTTTTCTCATGCTACAGCCACTTATAGCGGCCTTCTGGGGCTAATATCTTCAGTTTAAATCCTCTTTATTTTTATAGCCTATACATACTTACTTATCATTTAGGCCTGTAGCATTTAAGGATAAAGGGTCAAAGAGGTTTCTTTCTTGCTCTGCATGCTAGCAGCATCCATATTATGCACGAGTTAGATTCATATTGGATGATTTAGAAATAAAGCCTAATGCTAATTGAGATTAATCGGTAAAGGATGGAATGTGTGCCACCGTGAAGGTCATGTGAGCAAAATCATGTTCTACTCATTTTTTACTGTGAGCCTGAATCACAAATTAATGTCACTCTCTTCAAGATGCTCTGATCCTAGACTTCTAATTTACATGTCAACAGAGAAATTAGTTTTCAGTTCATTTAATCTAAAAGTTAACGTAGCAGAACAGTGGAAATCCATGTGAATAATGCAACGATTGTCCTCTACCATTAATCCATGTGTTCCGATATCTTGTACTTTGATCCTCGGGGGTTATGCACGGGATTTTGCACATTGTGGTAGTGTTTATAGTTGTGCTGAGCACATGTGTCGCGGTAATGAGCTGATCCGATTAATATGGTGGTAAATAAAAAGCAGTGCTGACATAGAGCTGCACGACAAGAGCTGGGAAACGATCAAGCATCAGGTCTCCACTAAAAAATACTTTCAGGACACGGAGAAATCCACATTTCACAATGCCTGCTGATTATAACGGCTACTGGAAAATGATCTCCAATGACAACTTTGAGGAGTATCTCAAAGCTCTCGGTAAGTTTTTATTATCATTAATATTATTATTTGAGATTTGGTATGTGACTGCATGAATTCTTGCCTTATTTAAAAACTATTTTCTTTTTTTACAAAACTTCCAACTCTAAATTCTTGGATGAAATCATGATGAAACCGAATCACGTAATGCTGTGGAGTTGATTCATTAATTTACAGTCAGTGGCTCGAATCGTCGGTAGTAGTTTGCGGTGTTCAGAGTCACGTCGTAACAAGTCGTTATGCCAGATGGCGACCTGAGAATTATTCACACTTAACCGATTTTTACCGAAATTGATTCTCAAATGCCCTTCAAATCGGACATATCCTTGATCACAAACGAGACGACTTGTTCAGTAGCCTACCTCTCCGACTCATTCTGTGAAAGGGGAGTTTTCGTTTTGTACTTCCAACCAATGAAATGCTCTTTCACAGCTCGCACTTGCATGCCATTGGTCGTGCTATTGTCAGTCTTTAAATCAGAACATCAGTCACATGCTTATGTTTATAAACGAAACTCTATATTAGCAGGAAATGTAGCCTAATTAGATCATTTAAAACGTATTAGTGGTAACTGGAAAGTCTAGGTCTACTTTCCAAAGCATTCTTGAATTACAACCATTTAAGGTTGGATAGTGATTTTCATGCCAATGCGAAAAAAGGGGGGTGGCAGTTAAGGGGTTAATGAATGTATTTAGATATCTAAGTAAACACTAACTTGCATTGATTTATAAACAGATGTGTTAAACTGGGCTACTAATTGTAATTTTCTTTTTCTTTTTTTCTCTCACAATTCCTTAAGATATTAATGTTGCTATCAGGAAAATTGCTGTTTTGTTAAAACCTGACAAAGATGTCACCCAGAATGGAGATCACTTTGTCATCAAGACTATCAGCACATTCAAGAACTATGACATGGACTTTGTGGTTGGTCAGGAGTTTGAGGAAGACCTGGGTGCAGTTGATGGCAGGAAATGTATGGTGAGTGTACCAACAATTTACTTTCATGCAATAAGTATAATCCAGAAGTATGATTACAGTGATGGAGAGAAAAAAATGACTAGACATAAATTGTAGAGTGGTGTTGGTCTGCTACTGCTTTTTTCAGTCTTTGGCCTATAAATGTCTGAAATAGCTTGGCTTTCTCATGTGATTTCTGTTCACTTGAATGACTTGTTTGATTGTAAATCCCCTCACGTGTATGTGGAATGCAGTTGTGTTACATACAGAAAGCCATTTAAAACTGCAATGACTGAAATATTAAGTGAGAGCACCAGTTTTATCCTTGTTTTAGTAATTCAGATTCAGTTTTTGGTGGCTCCTGTTAGGTGACCTTCTCCAAACTTGAGAATTTTTTTTTTTTAAATTATGTTTTAGTGTCATAAAAATATTTAAAAGGTATGCATTCATTTATATGATTATGACATGAGTGGAATAAATTATGAATTATATATATATTTTTTTTAATGTAATAATGCAGTACTTGTTATAGATTTACCCATGCACTTCATTATTGGGTAACACTTTACTTGAAGGGGTGTCCATAAGACTAACATTTTTTTTTTCCCATAAGACTAACATGACATATGTTATGAATATGAAGGAAGTTTTATGGCATGTTTGTGACAACTGCCATTAGTGTCATTCGCTCCGTTATGACATTTTTAATGCAAATATGACATTGGTTGAGATGTCTTTGTTATGACCTTGACATAAACCAACACATTATAACCTCTCAGTGTCTTTATCATGACAATTTGACATAGAATTAAGTTAAACTGTCATGTGGTCTCTGATGATGTGTTTACTAGTGCAAGGGCGGGACAACATGTCACTCACATGACATCACAGAAATAGCAAAACATAACCATCCAATCAGTTCCTGATGGACAAAGACAAGTCCTGCCCTACATTTATTTTTTTTCTTGTTGGAGAAGCGTTTTACTTGGATAATATGTGTCAAAATAGGGAAGAAAAGACTATCTCAACTTCTTAATATTACATTGGCAACATCCATCCATTGCAGTTTCACTGGTGCTGTGAGCTGCAACTATGCAACATAAAACCTTCCCATTTCATCCATTTTATATATCATTTATGTTAAAGATTAATTATCAACCCGTAAATTCCACTTATTTAAACATGTTGTGGTAAACTTTACATCTTTGCATTGTTTAATCCACAGACTACCATCACCTGGGATGGAGACAAGCTTGTGTGTGTGCAGAAAGGAGAGATTGAGGGCAGGGGCTGGACCCACTGGATTGAAGGAGATGAACTTCACTTGGTGTGTAATGTATACTAAACTACACCTGAAACATCTTTTCTTATAGACTCTCATTTGCCTCAATACAACAATTACTTGTTGTAACAGTTAGTGTAAAACATATGATAACTGATGATACAAATGACACGTGCTCACCAGTGTGTATAGGGGCTCATTGTGCAGGGAACGTTTTTATCGTTTCAAGGCTATTGTGCTATTGAACTCATCTAAAACGTTAACAACAGATGTTCCACCACCTCTGTGCAATGTTGCGCTTAATTACCCCAAACAAACCCCTTTGACAAAAAAACCCCCCAAAAAACCTTTGTCTACGGTCTTTTAGAGAATCTATATTTAGGCACATAGCACCACCTGCTGGTGAGAAGTGCCATTTGTAGAGACACAGGAGCATGATTGATTTCTATGAAAATCTGTTTTGTTTTATAATTCTGTTCTGTATATTTTTTATGTAGGAGCTGAGAGCAGCTGGAGTTGTGTCCGAGCAGGTTTTCAAGAAGTCTTAAGCTTACGTTGTATAGTTCAGCCACCTAGTGGAGAAGACAGAAACAACCACCATAGACTGAGCTGTGCATCCATTCATCCTCTCATTCATCAATCTTTCTGTTTACACTTGCATTTTGCATATATGCATCTGCTTGATGTGCCTTTCTAGAGTATACTCATCAGACAAAGTGTTTTCCAAATGAGCAATTAGCCTACTTTAGTGGATATTGCAGACACATTTTAAATTCATTTGTGTGTGGGTTTGGTCGCGCTGCGGTCACTATGCCTCCTGAGAGATTTACTGCTGTCTAAAAATACCGTCTTTACATCTGAGGGTCTTTCTGAGATAAGATGGGTCTTGACCCCACAGAAAATTGAGCTCTTTTCAGAAGCAGGAAGAGGAGGATGAAATGGGAAGGGGCTGTAAACCTGCACTCCTGCATCCATATATCATGTGTGCTGAAAGTGTGACAAATCACAACTTACAAAATAAAGAAAACTGATGAGAATAGTGAACATGTTTTTCGTGTGAACCTTTAATTTTCTTTGACAAAGTTTCACCACACATTGTTTACATGACATGAATAAAAAAGCCAATATCTACTCTTAAAAAGGACTATATATTAGCATTGACTATTATTAATAGGCAGGAACTTTCAATTTTATTCACAGTTGATTACTTGTTCATGGGACATCTGTTGAGAACTTGTTTCTTAAAAACCTGTTTACACACCACTCCACAGGCTCGCATTTCCTGTTAATTAAAATAAAAAATAAAATTAAAAAAATGTTATATTTTTGATCAAATGCAGCCTTGGTGAGCATTAGAGACTTTTTTGGAAGAAACACACACACACATTATGCCAACAACCGTCAATTATGGAGGTTAGTGCTCACTATGCACCAATGTTGTTGAGTAACAAAGAATCCCAAACAGTTGTATAACGAAGATACTAAATATAGATTGCAGCTTATACACATTTGAAACATGTTTGCTATTGTGACGGGTGTCTGCCGCGGTAATGATATTATCTCATTAATTGCACTGTTGACTACTACACCAACAACAAGAATCAGCCAAGTGTGACCATTATACAACAGACCATGTCCTCATATGAACTACGTCCTTATACAAACTTACCACATGTAACTCATCCCCTTTGACCCACTGTGTCCAGCCCCTTCCCTCCTTTTCTCCTTTCTGCACACACACCAGTTTGTCTCCCTCCCAGTTTACCGTGGTCTACAAAACAAGGACAGATACACGCCACTGAAAGAGATGAAGCTGGAACCGACTGACAATTCACACAGATTAGAGAATAAATAGTGTACTTTACCAAAAACATAAATCAGTGTATAAAGTGCAAGGTATCTGGTGTCAGTTATTTTAGCTGTGTACATTATTAGTATTATTTAAATTTATTAGCAGAATCACACAGACTGGTTTATGGTGATAACAATTAAATCATTTACATTATTGTTCTTATTATTTGCCTCTCTCTAAAAAAAGTATATAGTAACTTAAAGGGTTCTGTCAGGTCCTTCATAGAACCTTTTCCATTTTGGGATCATAAATATAAATAAAATTAAAAAAAAACTTCAAGCAGAATTGAAAAAATTAAGTTATATGAACTTAATTCCACATAACTTTTTTTTCAATTGTGCGTGAAGTTTAATTAATTTTAAGGCAATGGGTTTCCTTACTTTTTGTAAGTTAAACCAACTGATCACTTTTTAGAACTAGGTTTAACCACAGTAAACCTTTTTTCTGAGAATGAATTGGAAGAATTGCAGTCTCTCACATTCACAAGAAATAGCTTAATTCTCTGTGTGTGTGTGTGTGTGTGTGTGTGTGTGTGTGTGTGTGTGTGTGTGTGTGTGTGTGTGTATATATATATATATATATACAGTATATATAGTATATATATATGGACTTAACAAAAAATACATTTAACCCTAATAAAGCTCTCATTGTAAACTGAACACTATACTAACATGCCTAAACTGGTTGACCTGGAGCACCAGGTGTTTGCGGCATTAGCCGAAAACCTCATGGATTTAAGATTCAGTCTTTGTCTGTCTATCTCCGTCTAATCCTATTTAATGGCATAATCACTGAGTCATCCTTGACAACAGGAAATATAGGTCAGAATAGTACAACATATAACATCTTTTTCCAGTATAAAGACCCTTTTGTGGAATGGAAAGTTTCCATGGGTCTCTCGTAGAATCATAAAGAGCCTTAATTTGAGTGTAATTCATAAAAAGTTTTTATTAATTTCTGTTAGTTGCGCATTAATCTGTACCTTCTAGGAGGTCACTTACCATACATTTCCTGTCATCTACCCCAACCAAATCCTCCTCAAACTCCTTTCCAACATCAAAATCCATATTGTAGTTCCTAAAGGTGGTGAGAGTCTTAATATTAAAATGATCACCATTCTGAACAATCTCCTTATCAAAGATGAGATAGCTGGCAATTTTTCTGATGACAATGTTCACATCTGTAAGTTGAATAGATATAGAATTGGTCAACCATACATGAGCCTTTTAAAAAAATTTTAATTTTTTTGTAAAACAACAAAATATAATGAGGTCTGCCAGAGTTATAACACTTTTATATTGAGTACAAAATACAAGCACAATGTAAAAAATTATATGATCAATAAGTTATGACATGTTTTTTTTTAGTTATACAAGATTCACCTCGTTTTT